GGAGGGCCCAGAGGAGATTGAGGGGTGGACATGATCAAAATACACTGTGGTGGCTTCATGATCAATGGTAGCACATCTAACTCTGAAATTCATCATGTACATGTGAAAAATTCTCAAAGAACAAAGTTAATAGTTACATTTTTAAAAAGCTTCTCCACATCACTCCCAACACTCATTATGTTCTCACCTTGTCTGTTTTGTATTATCTGTCCTAATGAGCATGAAGTGGTACCTCACTGTGGTTTTAATTTGCAAATCACTAATCATCAGTGATGCTAAACATCTTCCTATGTTTATTGGTCAATTTTGGATAAGTGTCTGTCCTAGGTAGGGTTTTTACTGCTGTGACAAATGCAAATTGGAAAAGAAAGGGTTTGTTCAGCTTACACTTCCACATCACAGTGCATCATTGAAGGATGTCAGGACAGGAACTCAAGCAGGGCAGGAACCTGGAGGGAGGAGCTGATGCAGAAGCCATGGAGGGGAGCTGATTATGGGCTTGCTCCTCATGGCTTGCTCTCTGTGGCTTGCTCAGCCTGCTTTCTTATAGAACCCAGGATCACCAAGCCCAGGGATGGAACCACCCAAAATGGGCTGGGCCCTCCCCCATTGATCACTAATTAAGAAAACGCCTTACAGCCGGATGTTACGGAGCCGATCTCTCAATTGAGGTTCCCTCCTTTCAGACAACTCTAGTTTGTGACAGCCAGCACAGTGTCTATTCAAATCCTGGGCCCACTTTCTCATTGGGTTGTTCTCTTTGCTGATTTGTGAGATCTCTTTATATATTCTCAGGCACTGATCCTCTACCAGGTACCAGGTATACGGTCTGCAACCGTCCCATTCTGTGGGTGTCTTTTCATTCTCTTAACAGTGTCCTTGGGTGGCTTCTGTTGTTTTGTTCTGTTTTTTTGGTCTTTGTTATCTGTTTGTTTGGTTTTGAGACAGAGTCTCTCTCTATACTCCCAGCTGTCCTGGAGCTCACTATATAGATCAAGCTAGCTTCAAACTCACAGAAATCCTCCTGCCTCTGCCTCCTGAGTGATGGAATTAAAGGAGTGTGCCACCACGCCAGGCTCCT